AAATCTAAAACGAGCTTTTTCTCATTCCATTAAAACGTTATATTTTTTTGAAAATTATATAATAGTATTTATTTGTGTACCATTATTTATTACACATTTGGTATATATATTACCATATTAAAATTTTGATAAATTTCATTTCAACAAATTAGAATATTTAATTAGAATTAAAGTTCAAATTTATATCAAAATCAAGATTCTGAATTGATTCTTTGAATTCTTCATATTTCACTCAGCTTTTACATAAGTCTATTGCATAGTCACCATGGCGCCATCCCCCAATCGGACAGCAAATAGTCCGAATAGTGTATATCCAATGGCAGCAACCCAGGTAGGTACAACTACATACATGTTAAAAAAATATTCTTTGTATCGAAAATTGAAAACAATTCGTTTTTTGAATATAGAATATAAAAATAGTCAAAAATATTCATTTATTTTGTTATTTAAATTTATTTCCTCATTACACAATTATAATTTTTTAAATTTATTTTTAACATTTATGTAATCAAATAAAATTAGAAAATTTTTTTATTTGTATGACAGATAAGGAAAAAGTTGTTTTCGTAAAAATGCTTAAGATTTTTATTAGCACTCAAAGAATATTTTATATTTAACATTTTTGATAAATTTTTTTAATTTAATAGAAAATCCTGAGACTATAACATTGACACCTCGATTTTAATCGAGGTATTTTTCGAATATATTTAATGGATAAATAAATCTAAATACATAAATCTCAATACATTATCTCAATACATAAAATGAGAATAATTTTTTTAGTATTTCAAAAAAAAAAGTCTGTAAATATCTTTTATTTTATACTAATAATTTATAAAAATGTAAGGATCATTCACCTATCAGCATTTAAAACGCTTAGGCGGGGGTTAAACGATCTAAAAAGGAAAAAGAGAAAGCATTTGTCGATGCCCCGGTAGCTCAGAGGTAGAGCTCCTGCATATAGTGAGCGAAAGCGCCTAGCAACAACTAGCAGGTTCGAATCCTGCCCGGTGGCACTTTTGCAAACTCTTTCTAAAATATTTAATTTTAATCTTAATAATTTATACTGGTTGACAACAAAGTAACCGGGAACTTTATTTTTGGCATAACTTTGTTCAAATTAGAGATAATGGGATCAAATAAGCTTATTTCATGAAGAATTAAACAAGGAACAAATATTGCAAAAAAATTATGAATTACTATCCCTTTGATCGAATATAGTTGAACGCACTAAAAATTGAGCTAAAAGTTAGCCCCATCTTTGGTGAGATTTTTTCTCATTCCAGCATGATGATGTTTTAGGCAAGGCACAAAGCCTTGCCTAAAACCTGGATCGAAAGAGTAATCCAATTATTCAAATCCGGTGAGTACGTTGGTTTTTAACATTCGTCTTCAAATCTATATCCGAGCAAAGGGTGGCAATTCGAAAATTTTTGCTAAAGTTTGTCCCATGTTTAATTCTCAATTAAAGAAGCTTGATTTGTTACATTTACTCTAATTTTAATCAAGTCAATAAAATAAAGTGCCCGGTTATTTTTTCAAATCTATATCCGAGCAAAGGGTCGAAAATTTTTGCTAAAGTTTGTCCCATGTTTAATTCTCAATTAAAGAAGCTTGATTTGTTACATTTACTCTAATTTTAATCAAGTCAATAAAATAAAGTGCCCGGTTATTTTTTTGCATCATGCACATCTTTCTCAGTTTGTTCAGTTTGCAATAAAACGGATTTGATTTATTTTCAGAATATTTATTCTTCTATCCACCTTAAGCATTTGATGATGATCCTCCTTCTAATAAATTTAATATTAGAAATCAATTTTATAATTTTAAAATGTTTACTAAATGATTCGGAATATATTATAGGTTTTACGTCTGAGAAATAACTCGATTGTATCTGTAATTTGGGCATATTTTTCTATAGATAAAATAATAATATGTAAAGATACAAGATTGTTTTATGAAAAACTTTATATGAGATGAGAGTTTTATTCGAAACCTAGGTACATTGTGACGACTTGGTTAAAACTATTGTGTCGTTTATTGTGATTATATTGTGACGACTTGTTTAAAACTACTTAAATTAAAGATTATTATACTAACCATCTTTTGCTTTGGGAGGAACAATTTTATGTGCATCATGCACCTCGTGTACAATAAAGTCTTCATTTCGATGCCATTTTTCCTCTTGCCTTCGCTTATGCGGGCGACGTCTACCACTAGGTGCATTCTGTTGGACAGATTGAGGCGTTTCCTGCGGCGGTGGTGTTAAAGGATGCCCACGACGAAGATTTTCTTGAGCTTGTGGCGGCAGTGGTAAACTTGTAGCTTCAGCTAGATCTAAAAATAACTAAAATAACAGATTATAGTCAAGCTTTGTTACAAATAAATGAAATTTTCTCCTAAATGTCGATACTAATCTCTATATTAATTTACTCGACCTTGATGTTGGCGTGCATGTCGTGGTGGCAATTCTACTGAATAAATTTTATTTAGTTTCATACTAGGGTTGGACAAAACCGTTTAATTTTGAAAAAACCGTATACCGTTTATGCCGTTTATCTGAGACCCGTATACCGTTACGTTTATTTTTACCAAAAAAAACCCGTATACCGTTTAGCTAAACGGTTTTGTCCAACTTTCATACTATTAAAAGTCAAATAATTTTTATAAAAACACACCTTCAGCATTAGATATATTATCTTCGAATTTACTTTGACAACACCCAGCATAAGCTCCTTAAAAATAATTATTTGTATGCTTAAAAAAATTTTTAAATTATTACCCGACAGATAAAGCAATTCCAACATTAAACAAAGCATCAAATTTGAACTATTCATTTAAATTTTATATAATTAAAACTTATATACTTATCGCGGTTCTTACGAGAGTAAAACGATGTGATATTGAATCTTGATCTTAAATTTTAGGTTTAAAAATACACAACATAAAAATATAAAATTTTAAAAATAAATTTTAAATTAAACATGAGTAAAAATTAATAATTTTATTCTAAAAGAAAAATGGCAATGGTAAAGGAATTAAAAGAGATAGAGAATCTTCTTTACTAATTTATGCCCTTTACTAAAAGTTGTTTACAAAAAGTACACAACTTTGAAAAAAAGAGAATCAAATTTGCGCGCGACGCGACTTCTCTCTCTTTTTCCGTTTATTTGTCGTGAGGCGAGTAAAATTTTTATTTAAGGCATAAAGAAAAAACATCCGGACAGGAATCACTTACTTGTAAGTAATGCCTGTCAAGCATCACTTACGGACAGGCATCACTTACTTGTAAGTGATTCCTGTCAGGCATCACTTACTTACGGACAGGCATCGCTTAAATCTATATTATTGACTACTATTGACTACTATATATAATAAAAGAGATATGCCGCGCGCTATGGACTTGTTTTTGCGGCATGCGCCTCGCAGGAGTCAACGGTTGCTGGGTTCCAATCTATTAACATATTCCTATTCCTTATTTACATTTACAGCCTTGGCGATATGTTTGGCGTTGTGTTTAGTTTTTGTTAAAAAATGACAGTATGTGCAAATTATGAAAATAGTGTGTATTTAGCGAAGTCAAGAAACTTTAAAACATTATAAATAAAAATATATTTTTTTCAAAAAAGTACAAATAAAAAAAAAATAACCGAATAGATTAAAAGCCATTTTTAAACATTATTTACAAAAAGATAGGAAATTATTTAACAAAAAAAAATCTTTAAAAATTCCCAACAATTTTCGTAAAATAAATTAATTTCCATGCAAAATTAAATTTCTTTATTTGTTACTCCCGGAAAGAAGTAAAAATGTTTACAAAGAGTTGATAGAGTTTCTGGTACCTTCAAATAAATAAATATATATTTTTTGATTAATCCTAAAAAATACTTGTTTATATTTTCCACCAGAATTTGACTCTTTTTTGGCAACTTCACTTTTAACATAAGTTAACATTTTTAAAATATCATCATTTTTTGCTCTTTTACTAAATACTTCACATAATGTTTGAATAAACCTTTAAAATTGATGATTATTAAATAATTAAGTTTAGCTTTAAAATAAATTAGTTAGAACGATTTTTTACATGTTTTATTCGACTCAGCTTATCAAACTTATTCGAATGAGCTATTATTTTTGTAAACTTTTTTACCATCAAAGATTGCCTCGGTGGTATTTTAATCTTTACGGGCCAGTATCTCGGTCGAATTTTTTCCCCAAAAACGAGTTACTCCCTCATATGATTTTTTGATTTTTTACGACCTATGTCTAGATCTACAGGCATTTCCGGTTAAAAGAGTGGTACCGTTCGACTCACAGCTTTTATTACCTTATTGTGAAATTTTGAGCATTAATGTAGGGAGGTTACAGAGCGGAGAAGTACCAAAATTTTTATTTAAAACCCCTAAATTCAACTAAAATACCCTCAAAAATTTATCAAACCCCTACCAAGTACCAGTAGCCGAATTACGCCAAGAAACGTTGTATGAAGTTGTAGCAGAAGCTATCAAAATATCAGCAAATGTTGGAACTTTTTCTATTTTTAGTCTTTTTTGAACTTTTTTCCCTTTAAAAAATATATCTAATTAAGTACTATGCGTTTTTCCCAAGGTACGAAAGCCCAAGGTAACGCAGAGCTATAAATTCGTTTAAAGTGATCGAATCCGGGACGCCTGGCACTGAACGAGCCGAGTCGAGTCGACAATTTTGAATGAAGTTAAATTTTCCCTTGGCCTGCTCCCCTGTGCGTTTATATGCACGCATTTTCTACATGCTTTATCAATTGAATGCCATGCTAGGTGGATGTACCAAACTACCATTTTCGATATGTTATCCTATTCCAACGAAATCTTTTTGTGAATAGAAAGCTCTACTAACTCTGAGTTACAATACCGGACAATAAGTTCTGAATGAGAAGCTTGGAACCTGTTTCTATAGAATAAAAAATTTTTTTAAGAAGGAAGAAGAAAAGGAAAATGCGGGCATATAAACGTGGTGTTCTTTTAAAAACCCTTTTTTGTTTTTTTACCTTGACTTTCATTAAAATAATTTTGAGAATTTGGTGATGGTGCATTTTGAAATACTGAGGAGGCATTTAATGGGTTATTATTGTTGCTATTATTAGGTTTAATATATTTAGAAAAAATTGAAAATAATGGAGGAAATGAGGGACCATCTACACCCTCCTCTGATTCAATTGTATGTTCAACACCTGCATCAAAATTCTCTTAAAAATTATTTTTTCTTTATAAATTAATTAATTTAAAGAACCTCCTCTACATGCTTGAACTATAAATATTTTTGGTTTTCCTATTAATTTTGGTGCATTTCTTGAGTTAAGACTAGATACAAAAGAATGAAAGTTGACAGGCATTTCATCAACACCCAATAAATGGTCAAACACTCCGTGACTAAGTACAACCTTTTAAATTTAAAAAAATATTTTTCAAACTTTTTTTGGTAATACTTCGGCCAACGCTCCCCCCCCCCCCCCCATCTTACTCTTTACTGTCTCTGATCATTTTGACCTTTTTTGCTTGATATATAATTTACATATCATTCGAAGGAGCTGTGTGAAATGTGTAGAATGATAACAAGTTCGGTTAGATTTGGCTATTTTGAACAATATCATGAAGCACGAGATTAAAATAAATGAAGATAACTATGTTGATTTAAGTCATATTTCCAGGATATTAGTACTAGAGATCGGAATTTTGTTCCGTACCGTATTACCGACTGTAATACCGATAAATACCGAGAAATACCGACAAATACCGATATTTTCCATCGGTACCGTATTCCGTACCGTATTTTTTAAAAAATTTTTCGTACCGTATTCCGTACCGTACTACCGATACGGAATACCGATAAATACCGAAAAATACGGCCGTAGTACGGTACGGTCCGATCTCTAATTAGTAAAATCGAATCGGCTTGAAGAGCTCTTCGAATGCTAAATAATTTGTTATAAAAAATTTAAAAAATGGAAAAAATAGAACAAAAAATGGGGAGGAGGGTGACAGCCGAAGTATTACGATTTTTTCATTTTAAATTATTAATTTATGTCTAAAAAATATTTAAATTTTTTAATATGCAAAATACCACAATAGCACTATCACATTGTAAATGCTCCTCTCTTTCAGCAAATTTTTGAATTGTAATCCACATTTGCTAAAATTATATACAAAATTTTCTGCCCATTTTGTTTTTGCCATAACTTTCTTCAAAGTAGGGTTGTACCCCGAACGCTCGGGGGCGGGTATGTCGGGGTACGGGGTTTTCGAATTGTTTCGGGAACGGGGTCGGGGTACGGGGTACGGGGTCGGGGTACAACTCTACTTCAAAGGCAATGAAAATTGATGATTCATTTTTTATTTCCAAAACTTTAAGAAAATTTAAGGTATCAAGTAATAAAAATTTGGTTCACCGATTGTAGAAATATACACGTTAGAACATCTAAACGCTTCAAAAAAATATTTTCATGACAAAGTTTTCGTTGGTATAACTTAACCAATGTCATCCGATATTGGTAAATTTTGTCCATTCAAGTCGTCTGACGAGGAGCATCGAGATAGTCTATGATTAGATTTTCGAAAATTTCACCTAAAAAAGTTAAATTTAGCATCTAGTTCTCAAGATATCTTTGAAAGAATAAAAAAGAATTAGCAATTTTCATTGACTTTGAAGAAAGTTATGGCAAAAAGCAATAGGGGCGGAAGCACCTCGTATTTATTTTTAAAATTACCTGGGCAGTTAAATCCCTTTCACAAATTATTTTATACCCAAGTTGTTTAAAAAGATTACATAAACTAAATTCATCAACTTGTGTACCTTCCCGATTTTGTTTATTTATAAATTGGTAATTATTTATAATTAGAGCCAGTCCTCTTGGTGTGGAAAAATTTTGATAAATCTAAAAATATTTTTGAAAATTGATTATAATTTTTTGTATAGAAGATGGACTCTGGTCCAGTTCAGGCGTCAAATCGCACCTTTGTACGTTCAGTCAGCCTTTATACTCCAAACAAATTTTTATGCGTTAAATGAAAGTTCATACGTCCAATCACGTTCATTAAGTACCCGATTCTATTCTATATTACCATAAAAACTATGGAATACTCACCCAGAGTTATGATGCACACATATATTACCTGTATGGTTTTAAGAGATAGAACCGGGTACTTAAAATGTGATTGGATGTATAAATATTTGTTTGGACGTATAAACTTTTTATTGTAAGCATAAAGGTTGATTAGACGTATAAAGGGTTTAATTTATAACTACAGTCGAATCTTGATCTCAGAAATATTTACTTATTAAATAAATTAATTTTAAATATATTACTTCATTTTTATGTGTTCTATAATAATTAATTATATCATTATTAGAGGCTGAGTCAACATTCTCAACTTTAAATAAATTATCAAATAATAGCTCTTTAGGTATATCTCTATTATTTTTATTTAATTCATCATTATAATCTATAGTTTTATTTAATATCATTCTCCAACATATTTCAATCCATTTTAAATTGGCCAATTCATAAAAAATACTTTAAAATTATAAAAATTATGGAAATTTAAGCTTGTAATTTAAGCTTGTAAAAATTATGTAAATTTAAGCATTTTTTTTTATATTTTTCTCCCTAGCATACTGAGGAAGAAGTGCTTTTTCTATATTTTTGAGGTTTGCCAAAAGTGTTCTAAACCCGAATACATATGTGTTCAAATTATATCTGAATAATCCAAATTTGAACATATATTCAGATGTAGGACACTTAATTATAGCTGGTAAACCTCAAAAATATTGATAAAGCACTTTTTCTTCAGTATTCTAGGGAGAAAAAAATTTGAAAAAATGCGTTATACAAGCTTAAATTTTATCAAAATTATTTTAAAAGGAAATTATTATTTAACCTAAACATTTTAAATTGTTTTGTTAATAAAAGTGTAAAACAAAAGCAGTCATATGCATGACTTGGCTGATTTTTTGAAGTTAAAATTTTAATTAAAAATTCATTTTCACTCATTTCAAAATCTTTTAAATTTAAATTTTTAAAAATTCTCCAAATATTTAATTGTTCTAAAATTGTAGAAACATCCAATAAATTCAAATTTATTAATTTAAAATGCTTCTTTACAAATTCTATTTTTATTTCTAAATTAATCTAAAATAGGAGAACATATTTAAATTTAAATGTATAATTAAATACTTGATTTTCAAATGTAGGCAGTGTGATTGTTACAGGATATGATAATAAAACATTTAATTTAAATAAATTTTCAAATCTGTAAAATATTTTTAAAAAGTCATAAAAGTTTTTAAAGAAAGTATTCTTTATTTTTTAAATTAAAGAATTATTATTACTAGGGATCGGATTTATAAGTTTAACCTATCATTTCAATAACTAGTTATGATATGAGACGTTTAAATTTGTTCAAATCAAATGAAAATTTGAAAAAATAACATTTTCATTATTTCAATAAAATTTTTGAAAGTAAGGTAGAGATTGAGCAGCAGCATCCCTTTTTGCTCCTTATGCCAACATTTTTGGAATCTATTTCTCAAATTTTTCACATAATTTAGCATTTTTTACAACTTATTTAGCTACAATTTTAATGCTTTATAACCTAAAAATCCAATCCCTAATTATTATTAAATGTACTTATTATTAAGTTATTAAGTAATAATAATTAATATTATTAATATTACTAATTATTATTAAGTAATAATTATTAATTATTGCAATTATTATTACCTCAACATATCAACTAAATGTGTTTGAAGAAATTTACACAAACAACATAAATTGCCAGAATTAATTAAGGCATTATAAAAATTAATTAAAAATTTTTGATCTCCATTTTTTAAAATATTTAATAAAGATTTTGTCAATTTTAAATCTGTTCCAATACATTTATTAAAAACTTCCGGGGTGTCACTTTCATTAATTAAATAATTTAAAATTGAAGAAATATTTGGTAATATTTCTTGAATAATTTCTGCTGATTCTTGTTCCAGAAAGTTATTTAATATTGAAAAGTATGTTGTTGTTGACATTTTTTAAAATTATTTTTTAAATTTAATTTCTAGTAATTATAATTTTAAAATAATTCTTAAAACAATTAAACTTATCTCTGAAATTTATTAAATCCCTTTAACTACATATTCTATAACTAAGGCTAATATTTTTAGGAATGATAAGGCTTAGTCTAGGCGCTATATAGGCACTCAAAACTGCAAATATAGGTAATAATTTCCGAAAAATGTAAAATAAGCAAAAGTAATATGCCGAGATATGCACAAAATTGTCTAAAATTTATTAAAGACGTTTAATATTAGAGATCGGCCGAAGAGGTCGGTCGATATTTTTCGATAAATATCGAAAAATATCGAATATCGAAAAAATCAAAATTTTCTCGGTCGATAAATTTCGATAAATATCGAAAAATATCGAAACCGAAAAATATCGAAAAAAAAGGCTCGATATTTTTCGATTTTTCAAAAATTTTTCTACAACCAATGAATAACAGAATAGACCTAGTAATTTAATGAGATTAAGATTGATTAAATGGGATATTGGTGGATTTGGGCGTATTAAATGTAATACCAATGGACTTGTATTTGATATCGAAGGATCAAGTGGGATATAAGTGGATTTTAACTAGGGATAATGGATTTTAAGGAATTAAGGGGATATTGAAGGGCTGATTTTGTATCGAGAAATTTAGAGGTAGTAAGTGTGATATTGTGGATTTATGAGATAAGGAGGGATATCAAGGGATTTGTGTATTAAGAGGGATATCGGGGGATAACGAAATATCAGAGGATAAAAAATCATGGATTTAATATCCGTTTTG